ATTATGAACACACTAATCGCTGCCACCCAGTCCTCACCTCTTTAGAAAAATCACAATTTACAAATGACTTAAATTCGAACCCAATCACTATTTTGTGAGGATGAACAACACAAAGATTTACTTTTCTTTGGCAGGAACATCATTTTTCTCTTTGTGCTCCGCTACTTTCTTTTTTCGAGGACGCTCATCACCCGAAGAATCATCTGATCTACGATCTGAATCACTGTACTCGGGAGTCCGACTGCGCTTCTTCTTTTTCTTGGGACTCTTAGAAGATTCAGGTGCTTTCTCTCGTTCTTTTTCTTTTTCTCTTTCCTTGTCTTTTTCTCTCTCTCTGTCTTTCTCCTTTTCCTTCTCTTTTTCTTTTTCCTTTTTCCCGGTCCTTATCTTTTTCTTTCTCCTTTTCATCTTTTTCTTTTTGGAATGCAAATATTATGTACATGCTCGCGGCTTCCCATTCAGTTTTCGTCAATGTACCCTGCCACACAGAGACAAGTAGATATTTAGATTTCTAACACACACCCTAAACTCTTAGTAATTTCTAAATTTTTCAAATATTGATTAGTAGAAAATTGAAAGGGTACATTAACGTTCTTCAACCCCAAAACTCTCTCTCTCAAAAACAAGTCATTGAAAATGACACAGTCCCCGGTAAGTTCTCTTTGTGCTTGTCATATTAAAGCGGAGGGGTTGTCGCAAGAGTGTCCTTGAAACTTGAGTTCCAAGTGGCGTATACAACAGATTGTTTATTTACATGAAAACACGCGTTTCGTGTCATAGTAATATGGCCAAAATAAAAACAGCCGTTATTCAGCCATCTTTGATCTGATTATGAAACACAGAGATATGTATGATGTATGTGCCAAATACGAATGAAAATGGTACATAAATTGTGGAAATATAGTAGTAAGGCCAAAAAGTCAGATGGCTGTCAAACGGCCATCCTTGACCAGATTTTGAAACAAATTGTCATGGACATGCATCCTAACATGTATAAAGTACATGTATGTGCCAAATTTGAATGAAAACTGACAGAGCACATCCAAGATACCGCATAAAAAAACAAAAACAAGATGCCTGCAAGTCGACCATCTTTGATCCAATTGCGAAATATATCGTCATGGACATGTATCCTAACATGTATAATCTATGTACCAAGTTTGAATGACAACTGACAAAGCATGTCCAAAACACAACATTTTCAAAAAACAAGATGGCTGCCAGTCGGCCATTTTGAATCGAATCACTAAATCACTGCATGTGCATATGTCCCACATAAGGTACTAGGCACATGCAAAGAATGAACGGAATCGGTCCACAGGATTCTGAAATATGACGTTGGATAGACTGATGCACGGA